ACAATGTTTCAATTTCAGTATTAATAGAACATAGTCATTCTACATGACAAACTAGTTACAACTCATTTCCCAACAGGCCTTGAAGACCATCAATCACATATAATCAATCTTCCAATTCCCAAGATTTTAATTATTAAAAAAAAACTCATACGATACCAATTAATCAAATTTTCGAAATTACTTATACTAGTACACAAATATAGAAAACTAGTATATAATATGATTCCATAATATCATACAGTAACACACTCATCACATATAATTACATAAGCACAAAGTTGGCACACAATATTTCAAAACAACTTCCTAAGGGGATTCTAAAGATGATGGACATTGAAAATCACCTTGAGTTGCGCGTAAATCTCAAGGTAAGTAACCTCCGAAAAGTTCACCTAGTAGCCTCTGTCTACAAATAAACAGATAATAATACTAAGTCAATATGACTCATATAGCTGATACGAAGTTAGTAGTAGTACACTAGTACGTGGGTAATTAAGCAACTACTTCTAACATATTGTATTGATAATAAAATTTGGAGGAAAAAGAAAAAAAAATATTTTATTAGTCAACTATGACTATAAATTTAGAAGTATAGTATGTGACTAAAGAAATGGTCCACTACTCCAATACCACAACTTTTCCCCTCCTAGCCTGCAACCCACGCACAAAACTCCAAAAAAAATACTTCAATGGTGTCTACTTTGGCAGAAAAAAAAACAACCCATTTTTTTTCTAAAAAAAAAACTTCCAGTTCTTCAATTACAAGATGTTCAATGAGAGACAAGAAGATTAAAGAAATTGGGTGGGTAAGACAAGAAATCAAGAGAAGGTTCAATCAGCATTTCGAATTTGCCAAGCTCAATTCAATACAAGAGAATCACAGTAAGAAAACTCATGGCTTACTAATGTAAGATCGGTTGGGGATGACGACTTGGGCAAAATTGAAAGGGATGGGTATTATTTGATAGTGTTATACGACACATCAGTTTTGGGATTTAGGTGTATATATATAGATTAAAAAACTTAGGTTGAGTTGCTCTAGAATATTCAGAAGATAAGACCCAATTCAAATTGAGTTGTTGTAACTTCCTATCAAAAGGGATCAGCTTCAATTTTTTTTTTTTTTTTCAGTTTTCAAAATCAGTTTCTATAAATTATCCAAATTCCGTTTTTTTTTAATAAATCCGAAAATAAAAATAATATTTATTAAAAATTTTACTATAACATATAAATTTGAAAATAATTATAAATTTAAAAGTTTATTCTAGAAAAATCGTTGATTAAATACTAAAAATTTGGGGTATTACATCTACTCCCCCTAAAACGAAAGTTCGTCCTCGAACTTTAATGTTAGTTAGCTCTCAAAATAAGGCTCTCACGATGACAAAAGATGAGCTACCATTATATTCTACCCCCTTTAAGAGTTTAGGCCTCAAAACTCAGCGTTTCTGCTCAAAAAGTTCTGGATAGCGCTTTCTCATATGATGCTCGACTTCCCAAGTTGCTTCTTCAGAATTCTGATTAGACCACAGCACTTTAACTAACTTTACCGCCTTATTTCGAGTATTTGTCGTTTTGGTATCAAGAATTTTCACTGGGCGCTCTTCGAAAGTTAAGGTCTCATCTAGCTCAATAGTCTCGGGTTGGATAACATGGGTAGGGTCATGAACATACTTTTGGAGTTGTGAAACATGAAAAACATTGTGAACATTGGCTAACTCCATGGGTAAGGTTAGTTGGTGTGCCACCTCTCCAACTCTCTTTAATACTTCATACGGCCCAATGTATCTAGGACTTAGTTTCCCTTTCCTACCATACCGCATGACTCCCTTGGTAGGTGAAACCTTAAGTAAAGCCTTTTCCCCGACTTCAAATTCCACTATTCTTCTATTCTGGTCTACATATGACTTTTTTCGATCCTGAACTGCCTTCATGTTTGCCTGGATAAGCCTAACTTGCTTCGTTGTTTCTTCAATCATTTCTGGCCCCAAAGTCAAAGACTCACTGATATCATTCTAACATAAGGGACTTCTACATTTTCTCCCATACAATGCTTCATAAGGTGCCATTCCTATGCTCGCATGATGACTGTTATTAAACGAAAAATTCGATCATAGGTAATCTTTCGTCCCACGATCCACCAAAGTCCATCACACAAGCTCTCAACATGTCCTCCAGGGTCTAAATTGTTCTCTCTGTTTATCCATATGTAGCAGAGTGAAACGCTGTGCTAAACTTCAGGATAGTGCCAAATGCTTGTTGAACATTTCCCAGAACTTTGATAAAAATCTGGGATCTCTGTCTGAAATGATATCTTTAGCAACTCCATGTAGTCTCACAATTTCTTTCACATAGGCGTCTGCCAACTGATTCACATTCTAAGTGTCCTTTATTGCTATGAATCTTGTTGTCTACGTTCAACGATCAACTATGACCCAAATAGCATTCTTTGCTGCCCTTGTAAGCGGCATCCCATCACAGAATCCATAGAGATAGACTCCCACTTCCATCCTAGCACATCTAACGATTACAGTTTCCCTCCAAGTCTCATATGTTGTATATTCACTTTCGGAAATGTAAGGCACTTTGCCACAAACTCGGCTACTTCACGCTTCATGTTCGGCCACCAAAAATGTTGCTTAAGATCTTTATAGAGCTTATCTCCTCCCGGGTGTACAGAGTACGGGGTGTTGTGACCTTCTTCTAAAATCTTCCTTTTAAGATCTTCGTCTTTAGGAATACACCATCTCTCTTTGTATTTCACTGTTCCACTATCATCGACATCAAACTCAGTTGTTGCTCCTTTTTCTTTCATGATATAGAATATCTGGGTTGTAATCGGTTAGCACCTCAAGCCATCTCCTTTGTCTCTTGTTTAAATGACTCTGTGTGAATATGTATTTAAGACTCTTATGGTCCGTATACACCTTATATCTCACACCATACAAGTAGTGTCTCCAAATCTTGAGAGAAAATACCACAGTTCCTAACTCCAAATCATGAGTAGGGTAATTCTGTTCATGCTGCTTGAGATGCCTTGATGCATAAGCTACAACCTTCCCATGTTGAATAAGTACACACCCAAAGCAATTCTTAGATGCGTCACTATAAAATTCAAACCCTTCAGTCCTTGATGGTAAGGTTAAGACTGGTGCTGAGGTAAATCTTCGCTTCAATTCTTGGAAAGATTGTTCACACTTCTCATCCCACTGGAACTTAGTAGTTTTCTTCATCAAATTTGTTAAGGGTTGAGCTATCCTCGAAAAGTCTTGCACGAATCTTCTATAGTATCCAGCAAGCCCTAAGAAACTCCTTACTTCAGTCACACTTGTTGGTCTTGGCCAATTAGAAACAGCCCGGATCTTGGATGGGTCCACTGCAACTCCTTCCTTTGAGATCACATGGCCTAGAAATGCTACCTTCTCTAGCCAAAATTCACATTTTGAAAATTTGGCATACAACTTCTTTTCTCTAAGAATCTCCAACACTTTTCTTAGATGTACTTCGTGCACTTCTCTATCCCTCGAGTACACCAAAATATCATCTATGAACACTACCACAAACTTATCCAGATATGGCTAAAAAGTTCTATTCATGAGATCCATAAAAGCTTTCGGAGCATTAGTGAGTCAAAAAGGCATAACAATGAACTCATAATTTCCGTATTTTGTGCAAAAGGTTGTCTTTGGTATATCTTCCTCAACAATCCTCAATTGATGGTATCCCGTCCTCAGGTCAATCTTTGAAAAGATCCCAACACCTTTAAGCTGATTAAACAAGTCCTCAATCCTAGGCAATGGATATTTGTTCTTTATAGTGACATTATTTAACTCTCGGTAATCAATACACAACCTTAAGGGTCCGTCCTTCTTCCTCACAAACAAAACCGGTGCTCCCCACGGTGAGACACTTGGCCTTATATAACCCTTCTCCAACAACTCTTCCAACTGTACCTTCAACTCCTTCATCTCTGCTGGTGCCATTCTATATGGTGCCTTAGAAATAGCTCTAGTCACAGGCACTAAGTATATTTTGAAATCCATCTCCCTTATTGCCATTGGTGGCATACCTGGGATTTCGTCTGGAAACACATCTTGGAACTCTTTCACCACTGGAATGTGATCTATGGACTTCTCTTCTACACTCACATCTTGCACATGGCATAAATAAATAGGGTAGCCCTTTCGGATATAAGAATGGAAATTCATGGAAGACACAATATTGATCCTTGGTTTTGACACAACTCCCTAGTAAGAGATTCTATTCCCCCTTGGTCCCCTAAGAGACACCTTTTGGGTATGACACTCAATTCTAGCCTTGTACTTGCTAAGTCAATCCATTCCCAATATTACATCAAAGTCAGTTAAGTCAAACTGAATAAGGTTTGCAAGCAACTCAGTTCCAACAATGTTAACTGGAATGCCTTGGTATATGGATTTACAAGGAACTACCTCCCCAGACGGAATTGTTATGTTGGTTTGATACAAAGATGAAGGATTTAAAGCATGTTTATTCACAAAAGAAGTGGCTACAAAAGAATGAGATTCCCCAGAATCAAAAAGTAAATAAGCAGGTTTTGAGTTCACGAGAAAAGTACCCGTCAAAATGTTAGCATTGGAGTCAATCTCACTCTGGGGAACATAGATTCTTCCATTACAGGTCCTACCATTTCCATTGTGGTTACTTTCTCCGTCATTGTTGTTGTTGTTGTTTTGGCCATTCCCTCCTTGAGCATTGCCATTTTGGCCCTAAGAATTGTTGTTATTGAAGCGGTTGTTGTAGTTTGAGTTCCTCCTATAACCACCTCCATTATTGCCATTGTTATTACCTTGCCCATTCTGTGCTTGATTGTTGCCATTTTGCTTCTTTGGACACTCAAATTTCTTGTGACCAACCTCCCCACATTCAAAGCAAGTAAGCAAATCTCCATTGCAGTTGTGTCCTGGATGACTCTTGTCACATTTACAACATGGTCAATTGTGAGATCCTTGCTGATTCTGTTATCCCTGGCCCCGGTGGTTATTGCTTCGATTGTTGTTGTTATGGCCTCCCTGCTGACCATTTCCACCATTCCCATTGTTATTACCCCCGAGGCGTGGTCTCTTATCATATCCTTGATGGTTTGATGAGCTCTCACCATTCCCCTTCCTCTTGCGCCTATCCTTAACCTCCTGCTCACGCTTCAAAATCCTTTCGATATTACAAGCTCTATCATAGGCCTCCTTATAGGTAGCAGCAGTGCCAGCCCCAATCACCTTCTTTTGGATCCTAAAAGTCAATCCATCTTCAAACTTCTGAGCCTTGGATCTTTCATCAGGCACTACATTAGGACAAAACCTAGCATACTCATTAAATTTCTCAGCATACTCCTGCACACTCATACCAGCAGTTTGGTTAAACCTACTGAACTCGTTGTACTTCTGTCTCTTGATATATTAAGGAAAAAATCGATTCCTGATTGCTTTCTTAAAAGCCTCCCAGTTAAAGTTATGTTGAGCTCTTATAGCAACTCCTTCATTTTACCACCAAATATCAGCAGCCTCACGTAAATAAAAAGTGGCTTGGTCCACCTTCTGAGCATCAGGGGTACCAGCAGCATTAAAAATCTTGTCAAAGTCACGTACCCAGTTCTCAACCAACATGGGATCTTCCTTCCCCATGAATAGTGGAGGTTTCAGTGTAGCAAGTTTCTTAGCCATGGCGGCTTGAGGGTCGTTGTCATTGTTGTTGTGGTTGTTGTTGTTGTTCAGCTGGTTTTGCAACAACATTCCAAGGTTCTAGTTCATTTGCTCAAGAGCTCTCAACCTTGCAGCAAGTTGTTCGGGAATCTCAGCCATTTGTGCAGTTCTTCTCCAACGAGACCTAAGCTAGTGTAAACGTTGTAATTTTGCATACACAATCTGCACAATTTCAACACTAGTGTTACCACCATATATATTTAACACGATTTATTTAGATCGTGAATTGCAATTAAATTAACAACCACATTCTTTCATGTAACACATCATTAGTACATATAGACAAGAATTAAGCAATTATTAAATCTCAATAACATTCATAGAGTCAGCCAATTTCCAAACCAAATAATGCATCAACTTAGCATTAGACTATAGATTCGCGCATTGCTTTTGTGATCCCACTATAATCCAACCCATTCATTACTATACTTGACTACAGTAAGCACAAGAAATAAGAGCTTCGTTTTATATAAATACAATAGTAAAAATAAAAAAAACAAAAAACGAAATGATTCTACTTTATTAAATTAATTAATAAACATAAAATGACAAATTTCATAAATATGTTTATCGAAAATTATTTTATTGCAAAACCAAGAGAGAATGAAAATCATCTTTAAAATAACACACTAGCTAGTGCTAATTAGTTCAATAAACTACTGGTTACAAATAAACCAAAACTATACTATAGTTTCTAATCATAAGAAACTAGCTTTTATTTGTAAAAGTATTATAAAAGTTTTAACCAAATAAGCTAAATGCAACTTAAAAATTCAACCATCATTTTCCCCTTGACTCTCACGAGCTTCATTTTCCTGAGGCTCCTCCTTAATCCTGGGCACCGTGTCGTGCCGGACCGCCGCGGGCCGTGCCTGGCGGGCCACGGGCTGGTTCGTGCCGTGCCGGTCGTGCCGGCGGGCCCAGGATTTCGTGTCGTGCCGTGCCGGCCATTTTCACAGGCCAGCCCACGGCACGACACGGCCCTCGTGCCGGCCACGTGCCGGCCTGCGGGCTGGCCTGCGCGGGCTGGTGCAGTTTTCTTTTTTTTTTTTTTTTTTTTTTTTTTTTTAATGACAACATTATAAATTAATAAGTTTATAATGTATATAAGTTATAAAATTATAATTATAAGTTTTATAAGGTAACTTATAAGTTTATAACTTATAAGTTATAAGTTATTAAGTTATGAATTTTATAATTATAAGTTGAATATTTATGTTTTATAATTTGTATATTTAATATTTATATTTATATATTTACTTTATACTATTACTTTAAAATTTAATGTTTATGATTTATTAGTAATTGGTATAATTTTTTTTTTTTTTAATATGAATTTACAAATTGTAACAAAACGGGGAAAAAAGGCAAATTGGACTTTGGATGTGAATAATGCGTACTTTATATTATTATTACTTGATTTGAGAAAATTGTACAATGATAACAATGATAAAAATCATACAATGATGGTATTAAACAAAAATTGGAAAATGATAAAATTGATATTTTTAAAATCGTACAATATACAATAATTGTCTATTCTTCTTCTCCTTCTTCTTGCTCGTCTTCGTCTTCGTCTTCATCTTCGTCTTCGCCTTCGCCTTCAAGGTCATCGGCTAGTTGCATAGATTGGGAACTAGCCGAACCCGAACCGGAAGCGGAGGTTCCTTCTTCGTTGTCGTTGTGGTCGTAAGAACGGTCTTGTGAGCGATTTTCGGCATCCAACCAATCTTTGAAACACACGCACATTTCTAGTGTTTCGGGTTTTAGACTTGTTCTTCTATCGTCTAAAACCCTTCCGGATGCGCTGAAAGCTCGTTCGGAGGCGACGGAGGAAACTTGGATAGCAAGAATGTCTCGTGCCATTGCCGCCAAAGTTGGATGCTTCGAGCTTTGTTGTTTCCACCATGCAAGGAGGTCGAGGCTGTTTATCTCATCGTCGTCCATGCCTTTGGTGAAGTCGTAACTCAGGTACATCTGCAACTCCGAGACGTCGCTTTGCGTTCTCCTGATTGATGAATCACCTGAAAACCTTGAAATCAAGTTAGTAGCTTGTGAAAATAAATGTTTGGCCTTCTTACTTACGTTTTTGGATGGTTGGGAAGGCCCTGAGCGAGGAACGGTGCCATATTTGGCTTCATAGACTCTATATAAAGCAAAAAAACTGATCCTTCTCATTAGTCTTATAGTTTTCTACATCATCGTCAAGAAACATGCATTGAAAGTAAATGTCAACTAACATAAATGTGTTTTCATACTTTTGCCTAGGATCTAATATGGAAGCAAAAATATAAATCAAAGGAATCTCACTATAATATTTACGCCACTTTTTTTCCATTGCTGGAAGATACTGATCATAATCACTTTGATCGCGATGATCAGTGAAAAGTTGGGCGAGTAAGCATGCATTAGAAAGAAAGTTTTGAGCACAAGGATTGTAAACAGTAGAAAAACAATACGTCATGTTATATAATAACTGTAAAAATTGCATATATCTTTCACAGTTTTTCCAATCATCATCATACAAAGCATTTTGTGGAAATTTTTGGTTGTAAAATAATGTTAACGGGCCCTTGTACTCAATTGCCTTTGTTAACATGTCATAGGTGGAATTCCACCTAGTTGGGCAATCGGTTCTAATTTTTATTACCCTTATCTTTTGTTGTTTTAGAAAACTCTTCCATTCTTGGTATCTCATGTTAGAGCTATTAATAGACATAATAGCATCTCTGATTTTGCTGTAGTATGGGCCAATTGCCCGAACTCCATCCTGTACACATAAGTTAAGTACATGGCAAACACATCTAGTATGAAGAGCTTCACCGTCTAATAGTACATCGGTTAAGTTTTGTTTGGTAAGATTAGCTGTGTATGTCATAGAGGTTGCATTATCAAAAGTCATAGACATCATTTTATCTCGAAGGTTGTATTCGTCTATTGCTTGCATTAAATGGTGAGCAATGTTAATGCCGGTGTGTGGGTATTCCAGCATTTTGAAATGTATTATTCTTTTTTGTAACATCCATTGATCATCTACCCAATGGAAAGTCACACATAAATAGTGATATTTATAACCACTATCCCAAGAATCGGCTGTTAAAGATACTCTACAGTTAAGGTTACTCAATTCGGCTTGTAACCGGACTTTGTACTCTAGGAAATTTTTCATTGCGGCGGAACGAACGGTTTTCCTAGAGATTCTTTTATGTTGGGGTTGTAGTGCTTTGTTAATGTAGGTGTTGAATGCGTCACTTTCCGAGAAAAGAAAAGGTTGTTCGGCGTGTACTATCATTTTTCCTAGTTCATCCCTATCCCTCTCATAGTTGTATGTAAAGCCGTATGGATGGAATTGGGAAATTTTGGGCTGGGTTGGATCACTAGCTGGTTTTGCACAAGCTTTCATGTGTCTAGATAAGTGTCCCGTCCCGTTTTTGGTAACTGCCGTGAATACACTATTACATGTTTTACATTTTGCCCATTGTTCACCATCTTTACTTAGGAAAAAATAACGCCATACCTCACTCCTTCGGTTTTTCAAAAGTAGCATCTCAGTTTCGGTTAACCATTCATGATGTGTGTGATGGTTAGTAGTGGGACTAGTGGGAGTGGCAGTAGAAGGGGTAGAACCGGAGGGAATTCGGGTACTTTCTTGGCTACCTTGGCTAGAACAATAGTTTTGTTGATTACCGATATAATTAGGTGGAAATTGTTATGGTGGTAGTGGAAATTGGTTTAGTGGTGGTGCTGGAAATCCCGACGTATTATATGGCTCATAGCCCGGGGGGAAGTAAATGGGGTCATTGGTTTGACTCGTAATTTGGGGGCTCGTTGTATTTGGTGGTTCCCTAGAACTACTACTACGGATAAGTCGGCCTTTCCCCCTAGACCTAGATGATGGGTTGTTCGATGCCATAATTAACAATTAATTTTTTAATAAAAAGTGGTTAACTATAATAATAATAATTAATAACAACAATTTTAACAATAAAAATATCAATAATATTAATTAATAACAACAACTATAACAATAACAATAACAACAAAAATAAATAATAACAACAATTGTAACAATAATAATAATTAATAACAACAATTATAACAACAACAATAACAATTAACAACAATAATAATTAAACAAGATTATTCTAATAATAACAATAAAACAATAATAAATTTAAGATTAGTTTAGATCTTACAACCGTGCTTCAACGCTCCACTAATTACGATTACGAACTTTTTAATTTTTTCCGATATTAGGAAAATAATTAGAGAATTTAAGAGAATAATTAGAGAATTTAAGAAAATAAGGATTATTAGAGATTTAGAGAATATAAGAGATAAGAAGAAGAGATTGTGATTTTGTGATTTGGGAATGAAATGGAGGTGAGTATTTATAGAATTTTTGGCAAAAAACTAGCCGTTTTATAGCCGTTGGCCCGCGGGCCGTGCCTACGGGCCGTGCCTGCGGGTCGTGCCTGCGGGCCAGCACGGCGGGCCATGCCCGTGCTCGTGCCGGGCCGTGCCTGGGAATTCTCAACCGTGTCCGTGGCACGGCCCGTGGCACGGAAGTTGAACTTCGTGCCGTGCCGTGCTTGACTTCGGGCCGTGCCGGGCTGCGCCGAACGGCGGGCCGTGCCGGGCGGCACGCGGGCCAACCCGGCCCGTGCCCAGGTTTACTCCTCCTCCTCATCATCATCCAAGTTATAGTCAAATTCCCGCTTAGCTTCCATCATCGCCTTCTCAAGGTATTCCACAATAGGGATCCATCTTCCATTATAATAGTATTTATCATTTGGTTCACCTTCAATATATAAATCAGCATACTTCTTCTTAAGTTGAGAATAGGGTCCCCTCACACGTAGCGTGTGTAAAAGAATTTGAGATCGTCTCTCCGGAGTGAGGTAATCGGATTGTCCCTCAAGTACATTGTAATGAAAATGTTCAATGCAAAGATTCAAACG